TTTGTACAGTCTGAGTCAAAGTTATAAGTGTGCCCATCATCCAGATAGTGTGCATTGTACCCTTTAGGTGTGAGTTTACCCATCCCCTGAAAGTTTCTTGAGAAAAGATACATGAGAGATAAATATTTTCAAACTATGCATGTCTGAAAAAAATCTTTATTTACACCCCCCCACTTGACTGCTTATTTGGATGAATATAAAAATCTATGTTGGAAATAATTTTTCCTCAGAATTTTAAGGGCATTATTTCATTGCCTTCCAGTTTCATGTATTGCTACTGAGAAATCTGATGCTATTCTTTTTTTCTTTTTCTTTTTCTTTTTAAGAGATGGGGTCTTGCTATGTTGTCCAGGCTGGAGTGGGTGATCAGCACAGGAGTTTTGACCTGCTCGGTTTCTGACCTGGGCCAGTTCACCCCTTCTTGGGCAACCTGGTGGTCCCCCACTCCTGGGAGGTCACCATATTGACACCAAACTTAGTGCGGACACCCGATCGGCATAGTGCACTACAGCCCAGAACTCTGGGCTCCAGTGATCCTCCTGCCCCAGCCTCCCAAGTGGCTGGGATACAGGAGTGCACCACCACACTGGCTCTGATGCCATTCTGATTCTTTCTCCTTTATATAAAACGTCATTTTCCTCCCTTCTGGTGTTTGTAGGATCTTCTCTATGTCCCTAGTCTTCCAAAATTTTATCACGATGTGCTTCATTGTGGTTCTGTTTTTTTCCATTATGCTGGGTTCAGTGAGCACTTTCAATGTGGAAACTCATGCCCTTTACTTCTAAAAAAAAAATGAATTTTTTAATTTATTTCTTCCCCTCTGTTTCCCAGATGTCTAGGGCTAGCTTTCCAAATTTCTCATCCTTTCTTATTACCTCTTTCCCTTCTCTGCCTTTTGCCGCTACATTCTAGGCTATTTCCTAAGCTTTATCTTCTTACCACTCTACTATGTTTTTTGTTTTTGCTATCACATTTTTAATGTAAAAGAGCTCTATTTGGTTCTCTGAGTGTTCCTTTTTTAGTGTGTCTATTCTACTTTATTCTATCTTTATTTCTCAAAGGAGATGGATAATAGATTTCTCAACATTTTCTTTTCTCCATATAGTCCATTTTTTCCAAGTTTCTTTTTTCCCGTTTGTATAATTTCAGTTCTTATCTTACATGTCAGATCCTTCCCTTATGTTCTGATAACCTTTGGCAGTCTGCTCTTATTTAAGTGTTCCAGATTTAGCAAAACAAAACAAAACAGGATGCCTAATTAAATTTAAATTTTAGATAAATAATAAATAATTTTTAGTATGAATATGTCTCATGCAACATTTAGGATGTACTTATCATCCTAAAGTACGTTATATTTCAGTAAAAAATTATTTATTGTTTATCTGAAATTCAAACTAGTTAACTAAGTGTCCTGTATTTTACCTAGCAACCCTAAGAGTGAGATCCATGTGCCTGCCTGGAAGCTCTGGGTGTGTGTGTAAGAGGGAGGCTTGACAAGGGTGAGTTTACTAGCAGGTTGTTCCAGTTTCATTGAGTAAATGATTACAGTTTCTACAGGACTTTCCTCTTAGAGTCTCAAGGGAAGAGTATTCCAAATTCCCCATCCTACTGAGTATAATCCTGGCTGGCAGTGTTCTAGGAGCCAAATGGAGGAAGAAAACCAAGCAGCTCAATATCCATTGTGTTAAGTTTCATTTGGCTCTTCAGTTTCGGTATGATAGCCCCAGTCTTCTGTTAATCTAGTGGCCCAGATTAAAGATGACTGCAAATCCTTTGCAATCCTCCCCCCGCCCCCGCCTTCAGGAATGGAATCCAATCCCCTTCCCTTGAATCTAGGCTGGCCTTGGTAACTTGCATGACCCATAGAATGCAACAGAAATAATGTTCAATAGCTCCCAAGCCTTGATAATAAGAGGCCTCATAACTTCTGCCTGGGTCTCTTGGAGTATCGTTTCTGGAAACCCTGAGCCTCCAATCCGATTACCTCGAGACTACCATGTGAAGAGAGCACGTGTAGGTGCTCAGGTTGACAGCGCCAGCTGAGACCAGCCTTCCAGCTCTCCTTGCCACAGTACCGGATATGTGAGCAAATCCTCCCATCTGGACCATCTATCAGCTGAATACCACCCAGTGACCTTTGTTGATGCCACGTGGAACAGAAGAATTGCCCAGTCAAGCCATGTTCAAATTCAGACCCACAAAATCATGAGATATAATAAAATGGTCATTGTGTTGGGTCACCAAGCTTTGGGGTAGTTTTTAGGTGCCCTCAGATAAGACTTTGGCTACGTGTAGTGCTTTCACCGTCCCAGAGATGTCCTGCTTTACCCCCTTCAGAGAATGTGCCTGCATCCTTGTGCGAGAGGAGAGTGGCAGCTGCGCCATGTTGGGAACACTGACTGCCTCTCACACAGACTAACAACAAATCCTCCTGTTTTTAGCTTACCTATGTATCCACTTTCAGAAGCACCTAGCACAGTGCACACCTTCGTCTCCTGAGAAATTCTAGACTATCATGTTGCTTCTTGGCTTTTCTTATTCCTGGCTTAGGAGTCAGCTTTCTCAAGTCTGCTAAGTCAATTACCACCTGTCCGTGTGCTTTCCAGGTTCCAAAACTTCTGTTATTTTTTCCTCTCTCGTTTCTTGTCCTTGTGAGATTTTTGAAAAACCTACTCTTGCTTCAGTTAGATTTCAAGAGGGAGCTGAGGTAAGTGCGTGTGTTTAATGTAAAGGTTTCTTTGAGCCTTTGATTTCAACAATTATATTAATTTTTAAAATACCTTGTCTTAAATCAGGTTCCCTAGAAACAGAGCCTGAGTTTGGGATGCTAGTGTGAGTGCTTTCTTTAGAGAGGGTACTCTCAAGAGAAACCTCTAAGTAAATAAGGGAAATAGGATAGGGGAGAGGGAGACACTGAACAAAGATATGGTTTCTGCTGAAGTTTAGCCTCAGCCTGATCCCATGGGAGCTCTGGAATATAAATAGTACCACAAATTTATTCCTGGCCTTTTGTGCCCCCTAAAAATTAGCCTCTGGGCTGGGCGCAGTTGCTCACGCCTGTAATCCTCGCACTTTGGGAGGCTGAGGCAGGAAGATCGCTTGAGGCCAGGAGTTCCAGACCAGCCTGAGCAACAGAGCGAGACTCCGTCCCTACAATAGTAAAATAAAATAATAAGCTAGCCATGGTGGTGAGCACCTTTAGTCTCAGTCGCTTGGGAGGGTAAGGTAGGAGGATTGCTTGAGCCCAGGAGTTGGAGGTTGCAGTGAGCTATGATGATGCCCTGTCTCAAAAAACAAACAAATAAACAACGAAACAAAAAAACAGCCTCTAGTTGTGGCTTCCCCAACTTGTCTGAGGGCAGTTGGTTACAGATGCCAGTAGTGAGCTGGGGCTGAGTGCTCCCACCTAGTGAAGATTATCTAAGCAGGGTTCTAATAGCACCTGCTATGTTACTCACCTTTATTTTTTTAATGTAGCCTACGTGTTTTGTTTTCTTGTTTTTTTGTTTTGTGTGTGTGTGTGTTTTAGACAGGGTCTTACTTTGTAGCCCAGGCTGGAGTGCAGTGGTATGATCATAGCTCATTGCAGCCTTGAACTCCTGGGCTAAAATGGTCCTCCTGCCTCAGCCTCCTGAATAGCTGGGACTATAGGCACATGCCACCGCACTTGGCTAATTTTTTTTTTTTTTTGAGACGAGTTTCGCTATGTTGCCCAGACTGGTCTCAAACCCCTGCCTCAAGCAATCCTCCTGCCTCAGTTTCCCAAATTGCTGGGATTACAGGCATGAGCCACTGTGCCCAGCCCCTAAGTATTATTTTTAAGGGATGCAATGGTCTCTCTAATCTTTCTGAGGAAATGAATTATCCTTATTTCATATTTTTCCTACTATTTGCCCTTTAATTTCCTTTCCTCACGTTTAGTTCATAAACTGAAGTTCAGAAACTTTTAAGTTATCAAGCAGATAAAAAAGGCGGGTCTAGAATACAAATCTGATCCTAAAACACATGTTCTAAACCATGTTAAACCACCTCTGTGGCTATTAATACATCTTTTTTGTTTTTTTAAGGCTAGTCAAGTGAAGCAGTGGGAGTGGAGAAGGAACAAAGTAATCTGTAACTGGTTGTGATCAATTAGTTGTAAACACCACTGCATTTGGACCAACCCCTTAGACACGTCTTAATGAAATAATTTAATGTTGCCTCCCTGGCTTTACAGGTGTTAGCAAGCACTTGGAGTTTGGTCTATTGGGTAACAAACACTCCCAAAAGCTGGCTATCCTCTGTTAAATAAAATCTGAATTTGCTTGTAGGCTCAACGAATTCATTCCGCGAGCATTCACTGAGCACTTACTACGTGCCAGAATCAGTACTGGACATGGGCACAAAGACGACCTAGACCTAGTCGGTGGCTTCAAGAGGCGTGTGGCCAGCAGGGGAAGCAGATACGAGCACACAAAACTGTCTCAGAAAGGGCGAGCGCTGCGCCAAGCCCAACCTGGGAGCTACTGACAGGTACTAAAGCTTAGTAATTTCCCGGTGTAGAGAGAAAGATCGCGGCTGCTCCGAGTCCTGTTCCCAAAGGCCTGCTGGGCGCACAAAGAAGGGGAAGTGCATTCCTCAAGCGAGACGTGGAGCTGCTGGAAACTTTTTGGAATGTATGTTTTCATGTGAAAGAGGGAAATGAAATGCGCCTTTCAGATTTCACTTTCTACTTTTCCCGGCCACGGGCTCGGCGTGAGCCTGCTGCTGAGCGAAAGCGCGGTTTCCCAGGGAGGAAGCCTGGAGTCGCGGCGGGCCTCGGCGCTCTCCGCAGAGCTGGGCGCGGCCGGCGCAGCGAGGGAGCGGGCGAGGTCGCCGGCGCTTGGCCCTCACAGGGTGTGGCGGCGCCCGGGCACCCGAGACGCGGAGACTCCAACTGCTCCCACTCTGCGGGGACCGGAGCGGCGCTGGCCGTGCCGGGGGTGGGGTGCGATCCGGGCAAGTGGGCGAGGCAGGGGACCCAGCGGGACTGGCCACTGCCTGGGGCGCGGGCACGTGTCGGGGGCAACCCCAGCTGGGGGTGGGGAGACGAGGCCGGCCCCTCCCCGGGCACCTGGCGCGGCGGTCGGGACCCTGGGCCCCAGGTGCGCTTTGCTCCGTGAGGGATTTTCCGGTCCCGTGGGCAAAGGGACAACCAGGAACTCAAGCTCAGTCTCCACCCCGAAGTGGGGCGGATCCGCCCAGGATAAGACCCGCTGTCCGGCCCGACCAGGGTGTGACCTCCGCGGCCGCAGAGGACGAGCCCCAGCCCGGTCTCGGCACGAGAGGTAAGGGGGGTCTTGGCCGGGGGTCCTGGGCTCGGGGAAGGGGGTGCCGCTGCCCAGGAGCGCCTCGCGGGGATATCCGGGCCCGCGCCGCGCCGCGCCACGCCCAGGAGAGGGTGCCCGCCGCCGGCCTGCGGGCGGACCCGGGGCTCGCTGCCAGTGGGCAGGAGGGAGGCGAACACGGCCCCTATGCACGGGCACCCTCCAAAGGACAGCCAGAGCGGTTCATACAGCTCGGGATGCCAGTTAGAGACCACAGCGGTTACTTATTGCGTCCACGTGCTGGGCTTGGGAATCAAAAAGAAAAGATTGGGTTAATATTCCCTGGAGCTAACTCAGTCTAACACTGCTTACAGTTTGCTTTTTAATTCTTTGTTTACTCCATTTAAGAAACTTACTCCTTTCTCCTAGTTTCTTACCACTTTCTCTCCTGTGTCTAACGCCCTTAGCACAGAGCCGGGCTGAGGCCCATGCTCTGAGTCTTGGCCAATGGCAGTCTCACCCTTTTGTCATGGCTTTGACCAGCTGGAGACTTTGGGGCCAAAGAGGATTGCTTTTCAACAACCTGCCAACTGGAAGTGCTCCCCGAGTCAATGCAAGTCTTCTGGGAGCTGTTTGGCGTATTGTGGGTCCTGAGTAACACGTCTCTCATGAAAGACATCTGCTCTCTCCTGCTGAGAGTGGGAAGGATGGATAGGGTCCCCCCGCCAAATTATCCAGGACACCCCACTTCCCCTTCCATTGCAAGTCACTTTGTTTAGCCAAGCCCTCGCTTTTTAACTGATGACAGAGAGGTGGAAGAGCAAGTAGGAGAGGAAGGGGGCACAAGTGAGAAAATGGGTAACTCGGGCCACCCAAGAGCTGCTGACTTCCCTGATCCCTATCAGGCCAAGGCCATCCTCATTCAGTTCAGGTCAGATTTGTATTCATTTGGGGATATACACATAAGTACACCCCTTACCTCACGTACATACATGCATACAGATGCACAAACACACAACTACTAGATCAAGGGCATCTATGAATTTCCCTCCTAGACATTCTTGCTTTTGCTTAGGGATAATTTTTCTTTGAAAGCAATTTAGAGAGTTACATGCACAGTCAAGCTGGACCACAGTAGCCCTCAGCATTTAAAGGGTGAGCCTCCTGGTCATCCCCAGACTCATGTCTGGTGGCATTTCTTTGTTAAGGTGTAGCCATGCCTGATCTTGCATATCTGCTTGTAGACTAAACCTCTTCTTCTCCAAGGGAGATCAAGGTGAATGGCAGGTACTGGGGCTGGTCAGCAAGGTGCCAGGGACTACCTGAAGCTTCAGAATAAACAAGGGGGTGGGATTTTCCTTGGGTATCAATTTTACCCAAATGTTTGGGGGTAAAAACACTGGAGTAGAATCCAAAAATTATATACCTTTTTCATCTAAAACAAGAAACTTGAAAAATGTTTTGCTTGGGCTTTGGGCTGTGATTTGGCCCAAACCTAGCCCTTGAGGGTTTGTTTTCACTGCAATTAGGGCTGCTTATGCAGGCATTTTAAATGTCCTCCCTGGAGCAACTTTGAATAACACTCATTTTATTTAATCTTCACTTCAACCTGAGATGGGATTATTAACATTGGTTTACAGATGAGAATTCCAAGGCTCCAAGTCATGGTTCTTAGTCAAGTTTAAACCACTTGTGAACTGAGGCTTAAATCCAGCTGCTGGGGTGCTGAAGCTTGTCCTTTTATCCTCTCTGCTCTCCTATGGCTCCATCAGTGCTTGGTTCATAGTGATTTGGGATTTGGATTTGGCTTCCTGGCTTATTAACTAAATCTTCATTAAATGTTTTTCTTTTCTTGTTCAACTTTCTTCTTGTCAAGAAAGCTGACATATGAAATGTAGTCGAATGAACTATTAATAGAACTATTTTGACTAGAAAGGGAAAGCTGCGGTGGGTGTGGGTGTGCTTGTTAGCTAGTGGCCCTAAATTCTTGAGGGGCTTGGCATGGCATGTGGCCAAAGGAATAAACTCACTCTTTGTGGCGTTTGGCAGAGCTGGATGGTAGGGTCTGGCTAGATTTGAGGTTTGAGGAAGTAGGTTTTGAAACCCATAAGCTGAGTGACCTTGGTATTGGTGAGAGTTCTCATTAGACGTGTCTAGACAACGCCTCAACGGCACCTTTTTTTTTTTTTTAAAGATGTGGGGACTTGCTATGTTGCCCAGGCTGGAGTACAGTGGCTATTTATAGGCACAATCATATTGTACTATAGCCTCCAACTCCCAGGCTCAAGCAGTCCTCCTGCCTCAGCCTCCCGAGTAGCTGAGATGAGAGACACATGCCATCACAGCTGGCTTACAGCAATCCTTTTCTGATGGAGCTGTGATGGGTAGCAGGTTAAGCTAACTTCTAAAGCCATAGTTCCCAAACTTCAGGGTGCATCAAGATCAACCAGGATGTTTGTACAACATGCAGATTCTTTGTCCTACTTCCAAAAATTCTGATCATTATGACAAGGTAAGAAATCTGTATCCAGAAATCTGTATATTTAACAGGTTTCCTGGATGATTGTGATTCAGGTGTTTTTAGGACCTCACTTTGAGAAACTATGCTTTAGAAATACATATATGAGTATGTGCATACTTGATAAATTGAATAAAGCATTAATAAAAACATATGACCTCCCCAAGGGAACTTAGGCCTTGGTCATTATGTTATGAACTCTAGGTAATTTGGTAAATGCTAAAATCTTCGCGTTCTCAAGGATAGTTGTTTTTAGAGGGGAGGGTTCTTGCTATGTTGCCTAGGCTGGCCTCAACTCCTGGGCTCAAGTAATCCTGCCACCTCAGCCTCTGGAGTAGCTGGGACTGTAAGCGTGGGCTACCACACCCAGCTCAAAGACAGTTCTTTATTATGCCCATCACATCTCCTTTGTGATTTAACAATAGGTTTTTCTCCTCCAAACTCACCTCATAGTCTTATAATGCTTAACACCTCTAGAGCAGTATGAAACACCAGCTAAAGGTTTTTGTTTGTTTGTTGTTTAATTTAATTGGCACTGAAATGGATTACTACAGTAAGATTAATTCCCTCAGAAATTTAGGATTTCTATCCTGTTGTTGGTTTAATTGGGAGTAATTTGTTAGTATTTGATTGTGTTTGAACTAGACTGAGAGCTTTCGCTATGGGAACCTGAGTTGGTCACCTTTGAAGAATTCTTTTTAAGAGTTTACGTCGTTTGAGGTCAGTAAATTGCCAGGCTGCTTCTTGATCCAGACTGCCTAACATAAAAAACCAGGGCAAATGTTAATAACATATCCACAGTCAGCACCAGGGATAAATTGCAGCTAAAGGTCAGACTGAATTACTGTGAAAAAGACTTTCCATGCCTCCTTGGACCACGCCCCCCTATCATCCCGAGACATTATTAACCCTTTAGGCCTAGATACAACACAGGGCATGAGCAGGCAGACGAGTAACAGAGGAGGACCCCCCCCAAGTCCTCACCCCAAGTGAGGTTTTGTCAAGTCATCAGAAAGACGTCCCTGCCCAGTCACTGTGGATTCATTCTTCCGGGTTTAGGCACTTACCCACCCTGGAGAGGTAGCATGTTACATCATTACCAGAAGCTAACATAGAAGGGCCTTGTGGTTACTAGGAACAAGTTCTCCTGATTTATGTGTAATTGAGCTATCTTTCCTGGAGAAAGTCCTTTAGAGAGATAAACCGGGTGGTATAACCAGACCCCAGAATCTTCTCTTTTACTGCTCTGCAGGGGACTCAGGAGAACATTTTCTAGATCCTACTGAGCTTCAGCGTCCACTGTTGCTACTAGTTGATGCCGTGCCAGGACCTGTTGACTCTGGCTCTTATCCTTCTTAGAGTCACAGACCTCTGTAAGTATCTGGTTAAAGCCATGGATCCTCTCTTAAGAAAAATAAACACGTATTTAACATTTTTCATAGAGTTTCTGAGAGTTTACAGACACCCTTCTAAACCCAATCATGGATACAGACTGAGCATACTTAATCCAAAAATCCAAAATCCGAAATGCCCCAAAATGCAAAACTCTTTGAGCGCTGACATGATGCCACAAGTGGACAATTCCACACCTGACCTCCTGTGATGGGTTGCAGTCAAAACTTTGCTTCATGCACAAAATTATTAAAAATATTGTATAAAATTACTGTAGAGGCCAAGGGAAAGCTTCCCCTTCGCTCTCTGAAGGTTCAGTGAAAAATGAACTCCCAAAAGGAAAAATTGGAGAAGAAGCATACAGATTTATTAGCTTGTGGGGGAAAATCACAGAGTGATTACTCAATGTCATAATGGGGTACAGATACTTATATACCCTACTTCTTAGGGGAAGGGGAGATGGGGAAGTGTGGATGATTTTAGGGAGCTAGTTAACAGCCTCTGCGAGAAGGACAAAGGTTCATTTATTTATTATATATAATGTGACAGGCAATAAAAATTTAAGACTGAAACACACAGACCCCATCCTTAGGGAGATAAGTAAATCAATAATTCAGAAATCATAGGACTGTATGATAAGTGGTTTGATACATTTATTATGCACAGACTGCCACGGAATAACAGGAGGTGCACCTAACTCCATCATGAGTGGTCAGAGAAGGCTTCCTGGAGAGGGAAGCTTTATATCTAGGCAGGATTGCAGAAGAAGGGTTTGTGCACAGCATGTAGATGAGAAAGCAAGACCAAGGCACTCTGGAGGAGTGGCATGTCTATCAGAGCAGCCTAGTCCCAGAGGTGGAGCTGGAGGGCCCTTAGAAACTAAGGTTGTTCTGTAGGACTATACAAGACAGCACTGGGGGATGGGTCCCAGAAGGTCCAAGGATCCCATATTAAGGTCTGCCGGCCTGGATTGTAAATCTCTCTTTCCTTTTGCATCTGTTCCTGTGCCTGGCCCAGTTATGTAATAAATGTTTTTGGATAAAATGAAAGTGCTGGGTACCAGGAAGGAAACCAAGGCAGAGATTCAGCCTTGGAGAAATATGACTCCTAT